TGACAAATTACGTGATGCAGGGGTATTTAAGCGCGATCGTGGTTGCGTGGCGCTCTCTAAAGTTTTGGTCCTTTGGTTGAGAGGGGGTGATTTTATTTTGCTAACACACAAAAGAACAAAGGAACAGCCGAGCCATCCAGCTGCCTCCGTGAATGATGCCTAAGATATATACGTTCCTGCGTGTATTAAGGAACAATAAAGTGTGACGTGTTGTGGGAAAACAAAAAAGGACGGTTACATTATATAAGTTAATATGACGTGGGTTCCACAAAAAACATGTCGGTTCGGATTCCGTCTTCGATCTAACAAGCGATCTTTATTCTTCAAGGCCTCTTTACTGTGTATGAGTACCTTAGTGAATGTGGGCCGCACTGGGACATAGTGTTTGACCTTCTGAGTGTATGTACTTAATGTTTTACGTCTTGTGTCCCTGTATGAGCCATGAATCTATAGAGTACACTAAACGAAATCACAGGAATTGTTCAAAGTGTCCTCCTCGGTAAACTACGCACTGATCCGCACGCAATATTCGTGACTACGTAGATCATCAGTGGTTCCAGTATAATTTCCGTAAAAATACGACGAACCAGCGTCGAACTTTGTCTCAATAAATTGACCGCAAAGAAGAAATCGGGAGGCGTCCGGCGACCTCGGTGGCCAAATTGGTCGTCAGGCGGGATCTATCCACAGGTCGACTGTAACGCGAGCGGGCTTGGACACAAAACGCCAAAGAACCTTCCTTAAAATACCCATTGTCTTTATCTCCGTAGGTCTTCAACTTCAGACTGGAGCGTGTTCAATGATTTCGACTTAAATTGATCCTACAAATTTTCCAGCAATTTTCTGACGCACGCTGAATATATTGGCGAGAGATCGATATAAATTAGAATTAAAAAGTTAATTAAGTTAAACCGGTTTACAACGGGAGAAAATAATTTAGTATGAATATTTATGTTATTTCTGTCAAGCGCGTAATCACCTTAGCGATTTATCTCATTACAGTTTGCACTAATTCAAATGCACGTTCGTTCTTTTAATCCATTTCTGTGTTCCATCCCTACATTAACGTGTTTCCTTGTTTCCGACTCTGGTTTCAATAACAACTTTTTTTTATCAAAACTCATCGAAGCCTTTATTACGTACGACTCGTCACAAAGGACACACCACATTTTTGAAACGTAATGTTTTACACAGTCCCGCGCCCTAGCCACGTAGTCTGAGGCGTCATGCTTCGGACCGGCGATACGGAATGCGCGCTGGTTCGAGTCTCGGGGGAGAAGAAATTTTCTCATGAGAGTTTTGACCGGTGTATGGGACCGGAGCGTAATCCGGTCATGAAAGCTAGCAATGGTTGGGGGTTTGTCGTGCTGACCACACGTCATCCTATATCTGGTTAAGTGATCGTCCACCTCTGCTTAGGCATGTGAACGTGAGGCTTTGGCTCTCAGAGAGCTGTTACGCCACGGATAAATGTTTTACACATGTCGGAGAATAAAAGAGGAAGGACATGGAGCCTACCTTTTCTCATTACACCTTCTGCTTCAGTTTCATGAAGAGGTTCTTTTTCTTCAGTGAAAATATCTGTCATGGAGTCACAGAAATTTGGACTTTTCTGTCTCTGCGTGCTCATGGTTAAGATTGGACCCTGCTGGTAAGGCTCTTTGGTTATTGAAGTGGTTAATGGCAAGGAAGGTCACTTCTGGCCGTTTAGCACTCATATTTGATGCTATTGATTATTTGAGAAAGTCTCAAGTTCTTCATCTTCATCTTCAAAAATTCTCCCGACGAACAAATAAAGGCGAAACTTCGGTTACCGTAAGAAGAGGACCAGAATACAGTTCATGTGATTTCAATGACAACTCATAAGGAAGATGGCTGTCTTCTGGGTTGCTTCAGAGGTCCTTGCTGTCTTCATCACCAGGGCGATTAGAGCCAGACAGCAAGGACCTCTGAAGCAACCCAGAAGACAGCCATCTTCGTACTCACCGCAGTGAGAACCCCTAATCCTACCAAGCAGCTCGTATAAGCTAAGACGACGTATTTTACACGCTAAGTAGAAGGATCGTTCAATTCGAGTGTCACCAAGCCTCAGTAGAGCGATTTTAGAATTCACGTGAAGCTAATAAGCAGAATTTGAAAATGCGTTGTGTCATGTGATACTAGGGCGGGGCCGCCGATGGACCAGATCCTTGTGAAACTTGACTAATCAACAATCCTAAAACTGTAGCAGAAAAAATTGCCCATTAGCGGAAAATGCTTGGTTAATTTGTTACTTGTATATTTATTAATGTGTCTGTACATAGTTAGTACTCTGTGGCAACGCAGTTCATAGTAGAATTACATATTACGTGTCGAATTTATGTAATGAGTGTAATGACGTGTACTGTTTTTTGTGTTAATTACATAACGTGACCTCGATTACATAATGGAGAACGCTCGGTTATGTACGTGTCATACTCAGTGAAACTACAATTTATTTAAAACGTTCATTAGTTTACGAAACAAAAGGCAGGTAACAAATTTGGAGCAAGTGGAAAACGGTTTTCGACTGCACAGATTCTTCTCGATCGCCCATCCATAAGCCGAAAGGACTTCAGATGCTAGACGAATTCCTTGCAGTTTCTTCCGACGTGGGTTCCCTGTCAACTTTGCAATTATCGTAGTTCGAGACACTTTTCGGAGGACCGCCTTCAGCAACTTCTGTCAGATTACTGATGCAACATGTCCGTAAGGATTCGTCAGTCGCAGCTAACCTTTTAGTCAATTCAGGACGTATCTTCGGAAATCGTCGAGACCTGTCATTACCTGACACACATTTTCTTTAAATTCACCAGAGTCCTCCCTTTAAATTAAAATCCCTCTTTCAGGACACGACTGTCGACCGGAAGTCGGAAGTCACTGGACTCGGTCTTCCTCCGCCCCTCACCTATTTCCTGAATGTCCTTCTGATTCAACTTGCATTTCGTAGTTATCCTAGGAGCCTCGAAGTGTCTGTGTCCGCTGGTCACTGAGGCACGTTTCCGCCCTTCGTCACCAGAGCGACAAACTACGAAGCAGTCGGGACACGGGGACAAAGTCTCCGATGAGGGACGGTCCCGACAAAGGCCTCTCCATGGTCAAAACCGAGGAGTTGGTTGGTGGGCAATGCCAAAGAATTGCGTGGGTCGCAGTGCGCACCCTTATCGTCGACAATGAAAAGCGTGTACGAATGAACGGTAGTCGGGACGAATCCGTGCGATCAACTTAAATCGGAAGTGAATGACGAGAGGAGTTTGTTGGGTGAGGGATATTGAAGCAAAGACTGTCAACATTTTGACATCATTTCCGTTGTCAGCAAATGTACAGTAAAACTTATCTAAGTTGGACACTTGGGGATCGACGAAAATGTGTCCAACTTACTGAGGTGTCCAAGATAGAGGGAGAGAGAAAACTCAGATTGTGGTCTAATGACAATATAATCTATTTACTTACTTTAATTAAGAATTAAAGACAATAGCATCAATAATAATCCCACTCCCACGCATTGCAAATTACACCCCAACCTCAGTAACATTCTCGAAAGTTAATTCCACCAACGCAGTCTGAACTCAAATGCAAGCACATTCTGTGTCTTCTGCAAAACTGTAGTCCAGTTAAGGGTTCAGCAAAAGAATTGTTAAAAACTTGCAATGCATTCCGATGATGGGTTCAATGTCCGTAAGATAATCCTCCAGAGAGGAGGCATTCATCAGTCAGAAATTCAAAATATCGAAATATGCAACTGAAAAAGTTTCCCTGAAAAGCATCGAAGCGAAGTGCACGAACCTGTCCAACTTACAACAAAAGGGGTGACCAAGTTTCAGGATAAAGGGGTGTCCAAGATATAGGGTGTTGTGGACATGTAAAATTATAGGATATTCGCCGGTTCCAATTAAAAGTGTCCAGGATATAAGGGGTTTTATTATATTTGGATTGAGTAGTAAACCCGTTTGCATTCCTACCGCATGCGATATGACGATGGGTTCGGAAGTTTAGCAGCAATAATTCCACGCCATTGGAGAACCGATGTAATGCGCTGGAAAGAGAAGCAGATTAACCTGTTTGAGAGGGGGGGGGGAGTTATTTAGGCGGGAAGCAAGTTATCGAAGCGACGTTAAAATGAGAATGAAGTAATTGTTTCTACGTCATATATTTGTCGTCTGTCTTGTCACCGCGTCAGTATAAAACGAGAGACGTTGCGGTAATAAGGCGTATTACAGCGATGAGGTGCTTGCTACTTCTTGTCGCAGCTCTGATTTTTCCAACAGGGGCTATAAAAACTTTGCGTGAGTATTTTTACCTGTCTGACAACGAATGTCTTTAATTTGCACGAAATTTCGAGCGCCGATGATCCAGAGGCAGCGTTTGCTGTTAAAACTCTCTTCTTATGGGTGCGTGTATTTAAGGAGTCGACCAGGCTTACGAGGTAGTCGAACGCCGATGCCAGCCTAACCTAGCAGAGCATTTGTTTATTTGTGTTTCAGAGAATTTCTTAAGAGCGATCTGAAACAGTTACAGACAGAAAGCTGACAGACAAGAGGTTACATTATTGTTGTTTGTTTTAATAAATCAATTGCACGATTTGTTCAGTTCTGCTTTGCACTTGAAATATAAATGCTTTCGAATATGCGTATGAAGAGGGGAATCATGGGATTGGTTGAAATGGCTCTCTGCTGCTCTCAGTTGCTGTAGCTAGTGGCGACCGAACGGACGTCGTTCTGTCTGAGCTGGATTTGAAGTTTTCACGGCGGTGAGTCCGGAGATCGCGGTCTTCTGGGTTGTTGCGCCGTGTAGTCTGGTTTTACCGGCGCGTCTGAGGACCATAATGAGTCATCGCCCTGATGACGGAGGCAGCAAGGACCTCCGAAACGTTGGTAAACTTCTATGAGACTACACGGCCCTACAACACAGAAGACAGCAATTTTTGTTCTGCGAGTTTATTATGTGCACTGTAATAACAACTGAGGACTCTTATTTTGCAGCTTTGTACATTAAACCATGTGCCCGCTTGGACCCGAAGTTCAATGAGTGCGTCGTCAAACATGGGAATGAGGCCATCCCCCATGTGGCAAAAGGTAAATGTCACAAACGTCTGCGTGAGTTTCATGGGATTATTAAAGTGTGCAACACTTGTCTTCTCCCATTGACAGAGGCACAGGAAATGCATGAAAGATTTTTGGTTGTGAAACCCGAAGACACATAAGAGATCTAGGGATTAAAGTGGATCGTATGTAAAGAGCAAGTAATTCTGCTTGTTTATTCAGCTCAGGATAGGATACAATAGTACGATATTCTGAACAACAAAATGGCCTATTAGATTCCGTAAAAGAGGTTAATTTCTTGAAGAGCTCAGCGAATATCATTTTCTAAAAAAAAAAGGGACTTTCTTCCATAGGACTTGTGAGGCCATGTTGTAAAATGAAAAGGTATGCAGTAACTAGAGACTGAAACAATGACTACAATAACGAAAGTGGAGTTCCATAGAAATAAAAGAACGCCATATTGAAATAACATCTTCATTGTACAATTACCAAGAGTCTTCATTGTTCCATTTTAGTAGTTAATATCAATTCTGCAATTATTAAGCTCGTAACATCAGAAAATTTCCGTCTGTCCGTATAAATCAACCGGTGAACGATATGTTTTAGTTTGCCTTAAAGCCACACAACCGACACCTCCATGAATTTCTTTGCGCGGAAATAAGTTGGTGGGGAATCCTCAGGTTAACCTAACCTTACCTTGGTTGCCAGAGCCACTGTACGTTCTGTGTTTGTATTCATCACCATTGTTAACGCGGTTACCTGGGAATCCCTAGATATTTGTGGCCACTGCATCCTTACGCACGGAGCCTTTCGTGTCAGCGGAACTGTTTTTTTCCAAAATCTCTCATAAAGGTATCGTCGGTCCCGCTTCAAAGATTTGTTTGTTCGCCATGTTGGTATTACCGACTGTACGAGAATGTTTAGGGTAGTCTCCAATAGCACGCCAAATTTAATCCAAATCCGTCTATCGGAACTTAATCATGCTGACAGACAAACAGACCTAACCAACGAAGGTGACACAGCGGCCGAAATCATTTCAAATCAAATTTCACTCGTATACGAGGTCCGGTGTTTCGAACTGAATCATCAGGCGGACAGATACTTACGTATAAGTTCATTTTGTGTACTTTGCTTGTAAAACACTCTTCTCTTGGAAATAATTATTGCTTAAACAAAGAAAATAATGGAATGCTAAGAACATGAAAGCATCCCTGCTCCGTGGTATTTCATGCAAAATTTAACACAGTAGGACGGTTTGTCAAGAGTTCCTTCAGTTTCAAATTAATTACCTACGAATAATTAATTTCTGATACCAGAACAGTTTATCGCAGCGATACTTAATGAAGATTGGGAGTTTGCGGTGATATAAAACCTGCAGTGTTGCCACACTTAAAAATATATACGTCACCATAAAATAAATGCATTACAGGATGTTACAAAAATAATTTTACTTCCCCAGAGACAAAGAAACATGGTTCAGCTCTAATTTATTTAAACTTTTGAAATACAGCGAAATACGAAAGCAAAATATTAAATTTTTAGTTTTCAAAAACACTGTCCGTCACCATCAAAATCCTGATGGTTAGCGGGTCACACTTTGGCAACCAACGGCGTATGAAACAAAATGCGAAATAGCGCTCGTGCGCAGTGTGTACGCCCTATAAGGATAAAGAGGTTATGAAGACAACGCTCGTTGATTATTACAGTTCGGTCACTGTACGTTGGTGAAATTAATGAAGTAAAATCTTAAAATATAATAAAGTTTAGAGGTTGATGACCGTATTTTTTCAGGTGACCAGAAATACAAAATCCCAGTGCTCGACCCACTTGACCTTAAAGAAGTGAAGGTCGTCCAAGATGAACAGAGACCAGTCGGCATCGCTTTAACACTCAGAAACGCTAAGGTTCAAGGCTTGAAGGACACAGTATTGCGGAAGGCAGAGTGAGTAGAACCTGTCTGAAGTACATTCATCCTCGCTGATGGGCACAGGCAAAGCGTAGCAGCAACGCATGCGCAGAGACGCGCGAATAAACCAGATCCATCTGCTCTTAACCCGTCTCATAGTTCTCGCTCAGCGGAGACAGGAAATATTCTTAGCGGTAAAACTACCGCACGTGCGCTCGGTTCCTTCTGAAACAGTGCGTTCTATCAACGCGGCAGAAAAACCGCTCGTGCGCGCAGGTTCTAAAAGTGAATTCGCTCTTTTATGAGTGAAGGTGATGAGGAAAAGATTTTGAACGTGGAAAAGGCTCTGTTTCGCCTAAAACGTATATTTTCGACAAAACAGTTATCCATTAAAGACTTTTTTTTGGCTAGAGGAAGTAACTTTGAAACAGGTGTTTTATGCTTCAAGGAAGGTGATCCAATAGGAAATTGTCTGTTGCAACAAACTTGCAACCTGTTCTGTAACGAAAGACATTATGTAAGCAAGTCAGAGGAACTCTTGTCACCTGGTGTACAAAATGTTCTTTTAATCCATACGAGGTGCGATCGGAAAGTTTCAAGACTGCGCCTATAAAAACCCGTACACTTATCTCAGGTATTAAATTCATCCATCACCCTCGAAGTAGTTCCCCTGGGAGTGAACACAACGATCCCAGCGCCGCTGCCAAGCCTGGAAGCAT